AAAAAAACCAGATCAATAGCCTGCCAGTTCCCAAAACGCTAAAGAAATTTTAAAATAAAAATGAAACAAACAGTTTGTTCGCTTACAAGTTCATTCCGACAAATCGCTTCATTCATGTCGATTGGTAAATCGTCGAATCGACTTGTCAAAACAATCTTATAAAATGTTTTTGTGGCAGCCTGAAATGAAAAACAACAACAAATCATTTAAACTATCAAATTTCAAACAATCAAAAACAAATTCAAATCGAAACAGTGCAAACCTTCTGCAGTTCAACCCACTGTCCACGCAACAACACAGAGCCATATTGTAGGTATTCGTTCATAAAATTGAACATTTTCTTTGTTTCGAATGCACGCGAACTCAAATATCGCAGAAATCGCAACAAACACTTCCCTAATCCACCCAATACCTCGTTCATATCGCGCACTTCGTGATCTTCACAATATGTTACCGTCTGAAAAGTACATGCGAATGCGTCTCTTTAGCCATCTCGCATAGTTCTCTTCCAAAGTCAAACAAATCTTCCAGTGAGACAATAACAAAAATATAATAACAATATCAACAATAATGAAAAAACAATAAAACAATCTAAAATATAACAATATTAATAACAACAATAACACAAAGCACTGACCTTTTCAAGCATTTGCGAATAGAGTGACGACTTCACGGTACCAATTTGATTCAAACCGAACAGAAGAAACAACATACAAATGTGTTCCTTTCGTAATGTACCCGCTTCGAACAGCTTCTGCAGTTCTGCCCATTTGCACAGCACGAACAGTGCGTTGTCCAGTCCTAAACCAAAACTTTGCCATTTCCTCGTAGTCATTCATCCATCAGTTTTCAACTACTAATACAATCTTCTCATCAAATTCCCTTCATAACTCATGATCACTTCTGCCATAAACTCATCAAAACCAAATCCATTTTCGAACCAATGCCTTCCTAAGCACCGCGAGAAAGTAATAATTACTTTCTAGTTTAAAAAATAAGCGATAACTGATAAACTTCACAACCAATTGATAAGCAACATTACAACTGAGCAACTTCCAGACCAATTACCTTGATATCTACGGAGATATAAACGCAATATAGGTACCCTCTCCATCAAAATTTCCATTTCATTTTGTTCTTCATCACTGTTTCGTCGACAATATTCAGCGATATGCTGTAAGGCAATATACCAACATTTACATTGCACTATCAAAATTATCAAATCATATTCATACTGAACCGAGCCATTGAAGCTCTTCAAATGCTCAATGTTTCATCAATGCTTATAAGATAAAACTCAACCTAAGCAAAGACAGCATCACCAGAACAACAACCATGGTATTGCAATAAAAAAAGAACCGAACCCTGGAGACACTTTCGCTAAGCGGATCCAACGACTGCACTAAACGTTGCCCATTCACCAATCGCATCTCTTGCTTGATATGCGACAACACATCCCATGCTAGCCAACCAAACGATAGTAAACGTCGTGCACTCTGCGATGCTTGTCCTCAAAATCACATATTCAGTGACCATACTGGCGGATAACAACATTCTAATGAAATTTGGGACAGACAGACACTCGCTTACTCAACCTGGTCGGATGGAGTAGTCCGATAAAACTGGGACAGTAGAAATGATATTTAGTGGTAGCTTGCAACTTACTGTAACAAGTGATATAGTATGCCGATGCTTTTTGTTTCATGCCTTCTGTTGGATTCAAACAAATTCGTCTATCTTCGTCGTTATTGCCTCCCATCGATCTTTCCTTATCAACTCGTGTACACCGCTCGTACCCTCCAAATTCTTCGAAGAACACATTTCGAAACCTTAATCAATCATGGTCACATCATCCTATCATTTGACAAATATAAACACCTATATGCCCACCCCAATAAGTCCACGTCATGAAAGCATCAGAGGAAATCCTAGCAAAAATTAAATTCCCACTCGAAACTGAAGTTATTTAAATCAAGTCCGAACAACGACAAAACATATTCGAACTGTTCCGATTCTAATGAGAAGAAAAGAAAAAGAAATCCAGAAAAGCAAAATGAGTGCAATAGAATTACATTCGAAAGACTGACGCCACTTTCTTTTCAATCACATGATTCGTGTTATAAAATGACATATCGTCCACATCACGGTCACTTATTCGATTACGAATCACACTGATACAACCCGAGATCAATTGACCTTCGTCTTGGATTCCATAGTTGTCCA